GGGTTGTATTCTTCCTAACAAGGCCCTAGGGGTTTGCTACCCTGGGTTTTCCCTCCCCAGCAATCAAATGAGCCCTAAGGGGCAACAAATATTTTTCTTCTTTAGTTGGCAGAGTTTCTTAATCGGTACTCTTGCATATGTATATACATATATACTTTCAGGGTTTACTTGCAAAGAGATAATTTTGCATGACTTTCAGGGCAGTACTTAGTAATTTTTTCTCAGTTTTCTCTCCGCAACTTCTGCCGCTGGCACCACTCCTTGGTGTCGCCGTTCTCCTTTTATGTAAAATCTAGAGATTTACTTGCTGAAATTTGAACGTGCGTACAGTTGGTACCAATGATATGAAGAAAAGTTCATTGCTCCTCCGCAAAAAAAAGAAGTTCATTGCTCCTCTGCAAAAAAAAGAAGTTCATTGCTCCTCTGCAAAAAAAAGAAGTTCATTGCTCCTTCCAGAACATATGATAAAGAAAGATGAACTGTTTACTGTTTAGTACTCCCTCTGATCTAAACGCTCTTATATTTCCTTACAGAGGGAGTAATACAACATATAGAATAAAATCTTTAAAGTACAATGTAAAAAAAAGAAGAAGCAAACTGTTGAATCACACAATACTGGTTCAATTATCTCCTTTTTTTTTTCACTCCAAAGTCGGCTCATCACCAATTGATACCTCAGAGCAACGAAGCAAGAGAAACCTTTCGTAGATGGATCACTTTGTTATCTTTGAGGTGAGATTGTTGTGTGAGAAATACATTGGAGGCTCATGTGTATATTCAAGGTTCTACTTGCGCGTTCTGGAGAAATGTCCAAGGAGATAAATGTCACGATTAAAACCACCTGCTGGAAAATAGATGATCCCAAAATGACAATGACACAGAAATTGTGCATAAGTTAGGAGTACATTATTGTTTAAAACAATAAATCAAATTTCATTTACTAAAGAGCTGCAGATTGTTGGCATGACAATGTAACTACAAGTACTTGTTCAAACAAGAATTCTTTTGTGGAACTGATTCCAACAAGACAATTTTCCATTCAAAGCAGCGAGAAAAATTAAAGTGTCGAAAGTATTTTTCTGGTCATTACATCTTGCAATGCAGAAGAAAAAACATTCTGTGGGATTTCCTTTTCTGATGGTGAGCTCTATTTGCACTGAGTTCTTCTCCATCGGAGTGTGGGAACAGTTTTGGAAAAAGGAATTCACC